GAGCACCCTGTCGCATTGGTCTCTTGAAGGCGCAATGCCGTCTTGGGACCTCACCGACCACGGCGACGACGCTGCGCACGACGACGGAAACTCGCGCGCCGCTGCCATCTCCATCTTTGCAACGATCCAGGTCGATCTAGCGACCGCCCAGCTACATTCCCCTTCGAGGTGTTGGGAAAAAACCATCCCTTCAAGTATACTGATTTCCGCATTAAAACTCGACAATTTTCTTAGTAGATTAATTTTAGTTGGTACCAACCCAAGTTCCAACCCACGCAGTTTCCAAAAGAATAGCAATCGTACCAACACAGATTCTACGTGATCGGAATCCGGTGGGTTGGTACCATTGCCATTCTATTGGAAACTGCGTGCGCGATAGCTGTCTGACGTGGATGGATGCCGACAAGCAAGCGAAATTTCTGTAAATGAATGAACATTAGCTCTGGCGTTGGCTCCAGTGGTCATGTACAAAAACCTCAGCTCGCTTATAGGCATCCATACTCTGCAGGTAGTTGTCTCGGGTGTGGCACGATACTGTAGCACCGCTTTGTAGCCCCATTCACCTGAGTTGGTACCATTGCCATTCTATTGGAAACTGCGTGTGTTGGTACTTGGGTGTGTACCAACCAATATCCATTCACCCCTAATTTCTATCAAAGTATAGAAAATCACAGAATTTTCAAATTTCAAATAGCTAAGGCAAAAACGGAGTCGCATTGTGAGCGATGAAGTTGAGGATGACTTTGGCGGGCAAACACGAGCTATGAACGGAGCATTTAAACAATCTAATGCTTCGTAAACGGCATTGGCTACGTGGGCTCTTGAACGCTTCACTCCTGCAACAAATCGTCCAAATCCACTGTCTGCAAAACAATATAAAATAAAACAGCACCACACAGTCTCCGAGCAGACAGCAAGAGCCGGACGTACGACAGAGCTGTGTCGCTGCCAAAAGAGAAGGAAAAGGCCGTCAAGTGGGTATGCGTTGCGAGGAGTTGGCCGTCTGCATCACAAGGGAGCTAATCCGCAAGCAAGCTATAGCGTTCAGCGACGAATAGCCAGCGCAAAACACACTGTCCTTCTCAAAGAGTCGACTCCACAAGTTTAAGCGAAAGCACAGAATTACCAGTAACATCCAACTTGGCGAGACTGGGTCGATGTCACAGGCTGCCGTCAATGAGAGCCGGCAACAAATGAAAGCCATGACTATACAATTTGACGCCAAGAAGTTGAAATCATGGGCAAAACCATTCTCTTTTATTGCATGTCGCCGCATTGGTCCATCGCTCGCCATCGTGTACCTGAATCTAAGAAGTCAAAGGATAGGATAACAGACGCGCTTACCCCAAAGTTCAATGTGCCGACGTCGTCAGACCTTGTTCATTCGAACCACAGTGCCATCTCGCAACGTCAACTGGCAGAGGGGGAAAAATATTGTCCTCAACTACCAATCCAGGTAAAATGTTCGACGAATACCGTGATATTCATACCAGGAACTCTGTATCGACGCGTACCATATCTAGGTGATGACTGCATCGAGCACCGCGATTTCGAGCCAAAATCGTGCACTTTTTCCCTTCGAAGCCGCGATTTGGACCAAAATTGGGTCCAAATCGTGGGGTTTTCGACTTGGACCTCCCAGATTTGGACCCAGATTGTGTGCAAAGTGCATGGGGTGGTCGTGTTGGACCCCCCAACCACCAATGCACACCTGTCGTCACGATTGTCGTCCAAAATTTCGTCATCGTCATCGTCACGGATATCGTCATCCGC